CTCCCTCTCTCCCTCCCTCCCTCTCCCTCCCTCTCCCTCTCCTTCTCTCCCTCTCCCTCTCTCTCTCTCTCTCAATAGCACTCATATACCACTTCCCCGTGCTTTACAGCCCTCTCTAAGCACTTTACAGAGTCAGCTTCTTGCCCCCCCAACAATTTGGATTCTCATTTTACTGACCTCAGAAGGACGGAAGGCTGAGTCAACCTTGAGCCCCATCAGGATCGAACTCCAGGCTGTGGGCAGAGTTTGCCTGCAATGCCGCATTCTAACCACTGCACCACCAAGAGAGGGAGGGCGGGAGGGAGGCGGAAAGAAAGAATAGTCATAGCACTTAGACTTACATACTGCTCCATGGTGCATTTTGCTACTCTCTGGGCAGTTTACAAATGTTAGCATATTGTCCCCAGTATTTATTTATTTATTTATTTATTTATTTATTTATTTATTTATTTATTTATTTATTTATTTATTTATTTATTTATTTATTTATTTATTTATTGATTGATTGATTGATTGATTGATTGATTGATTGATTGATTGATTGATTGATTGATTGATTGATTGATTGAATTTTTACCCCGCCCTTCTCCTTGCGGACTCAGGGCGCATGCTGGCTCCTCATTTTACCAACCTTGGAGAGGTTGGTAAAATGAGGCTGAGCCGACCTGCCATTCAGAATCGAACTCCAGACTGTGGGCAGAGTGAGTTTGCGATGCTGCATTCTAAGTATTGGGCATTAGGGCACTGCAATTGAAATCCTCTTCAGAGGCTTTGGGGAGCTGTCAACAGACGGAATAGTCACAATAAACAAATAAACATGACGATAAGTGAGTTTTCTATCCCTGGGACGAAAAAAAGGTATTTGGAAAGATACCGAATACCTCCATAGGACCTGTAGTAACTCCTTGCAGCAGTTGTGACTTTCCCCTGGCTTTTGACCACTCTCCATAACTTCAGCCTTACTCTGCCTAAGGTTCCTTTGGTTTAAGAGTAGCAGCGTCCAGTGCAGGAAATCAGGAGATCCAGGCAGTTGAAATGGATAGAAAGGTTTATTGTGCTGTTGGAAGAAAAGTCTTCATCGTGGTTCCGTCCAAGCTGGGAATAAACATGGCGACTGCTTTAGAAAGAAGGTTGCAGTTTATTGAAGAGGAGAGCCAGATGGCTCTGGCAGAAAAGAGAGAAAAAAAGGGCTGAGCACATGTAGAGAGTGGGTTTTTATATCCTCTTGAGCCTTTTGTTTGGAGTGATTTCCTGTTCCTGTTTGAGGCTATTTCCCGTGTCATGTATTCTGAGCTGAGTCTGGGTTTGCCCTTTGGCATCTGTGGGTTAATCCTATTATGTCCTGTCTTAGAGTTTGGGTGGGGTATGTAGATTTTAGGTGTCTTTGTCTTCTTAATCTTCTAGCTTTAACCTTCCTGAATGGTTTACATCTGCATTTCTACAGAGCTGGTTTCTGCTCTGGGGAGGGAGACTTGGGGCTATTAAGAAAAAACTGGGCATGCTTTCCCGCCTCTTCAATATCCTTTGAGGAAATATATTTTCCTGCCCTTTTAATATTTTCTTCTCTGGGGGGGGGTGACTTCCCACAGTGAGCTCATGCTCCCTGCAAGAATCTGAACTATAACAGTCAAAGCAAGTAGATAAGAGTCAGTGGAATTCAAGGGGGGGGGGGCTGGACTTAGATCTCTCGTGGACACGAAGGCACTTGAGACTGATGACGCATTTGACCCCTCCCTCCGAGTCTGCCTAGTCATCTCTTTTCGGCAGAGGTCCCCAACCTTTTGGGCACCAGGGACCGGTTCTGTGGAGAAAAGTTTTCCCATGGACCAGAGAGTGTGTGGTTTTGTTTGCTGCCTGCATCCCGCGGATGGGGCTTTCCTTGTTTGTGTGGACCGGTTGCTGGCATGCTGCGGCCCGGTACCGGTCCACAGACCAGGGGTTGGGGACCCCTGTCTTATGGGCAGAAGATGCTAAGGGCGGAACCCCTCAAACTTCAGATCATCCTTTCGCCTTTGAATGCTAACTTCTCTTCTGCTTGATTTCCGTTCCTCCCTCTGAATAAACTAGAAGAATTAAGGGGTGTGTAAAGCAAGAGGAGAAGGGAGGAAAAGGGGGGAGAGAGAGAGAGAGAGAGAGAGAGAGAGAGAGAGAGAGAGAGAGAGAGAGAGAGAGAGAGAGAGAGAGAGAAGGAGATAGAAACCCTTATAATTGTGAAAAGACCTCACTGCAAGACGTTGAAGCCAAGCTCTGGATTTCTACGCACCGTTTCAATTATTCTCAGATGCATTTCTCTCTCTTCTGCTCTAAACAAGTGATCAACTATGAGATCTGTACCGTTACCGGAGACGTGCGGAACGCGGGCACCAACGCGAAAGTCTTCCTGCAGGTTTACGGTGAGCTGGGTAAGACGGAGGTCCTTATTTTGAAGAACAGGTCCAACAACCACGAGCGGGGAGCCTCGGAAAAATTCAAGGTACGCTCGTGTTAGGATCGCGAGGGAATTCTAACGTCCATTCGCAAAGATCCCGAGATACCATCACCATCTTTTTATGTTTTACTTTTAGACTTAGATGATGCTGGGGGTGGGGGAGGAATGTGCATGAGAGTTTAGATAGACATAACAATACTGGACCTAGTGTGAGAACCAAGGTTATTGAAATAAGAGATGATAAGAATTGGCGGGCTGGAGAACTGGAGGGAAAGCCTGCATTTCAAACTGTTGTCAAAGCAAAAACATCTGATGTTAGCAGCGTTGACACTCTAGATCAGTGATGGTGAACCTTTTAGAGACCGAGTGCCCAAACTGCAACCCAAAACCTGCTTATGTCGGGTGTCGGGTGGGCGTGGCCCATTGGGTGAGCATGGCCAATTGGGTGGGCATGGCCAATTGGGTGGGCATGGCTGCGGTGGTAACGGCAGACTGGGTGGGATTAAAAAGTTCAATCAATCTTGTTAGATTATAAAGAATAATAGAAATAGAAAGGTATTTTTTCTCTTTTCTTTCTTTTTGTCTTGTCTTTGGTTTTTTTTTTTCTCTTCTTTTTTTCCCCCCTTTCTGATTTGAATTAATATTTTCTTTTCTTATTAGAATTGATAGTTACTTGTAATGGAAGAGGAATAAGAAAAAAGGATGAAATGATATAATAAATGCTTATTGAATATGTTAAGGAAAAAAGGTTATGGGGAGACCTCCGAAGTGTTAACTAGGTATTTAGATTAGAAATATGGAACATAGTAAGTGAAATAGGTAAACTCAATACAGGATTCGGATTTGTAGATCTATTTAGACGAAAGATTATTGAGGATTGCTATGATTGATTTAGTTGTATTGTAATATATCAATTTGAATATAATTTGTCATTAGAGGGGAAAAAGAGGAGGTTTTTAATGACTTAATTAAGTCACGAATATGACTTTGTTTTGTGACTTAATTAAGTCACGAATATGACTTTGTTTTGTGGACAATTGACTGCCCTGCCACCACGTTGTTTCTTAAGCACTTGTTTGTAAAATGAAAAAACCAATAAAACTTGTTTATAAAAAAAAAGTTCAATCCATCAATTCCAACTTTGCGAGATCTTTTTTTTCCCCGCGAGAAGTTGAAATTGATTGATTGATTGAACCTTTTTTTTTTGCACACAGCGGCGGAGGCCTAAAGTGAAAAGGTTTTATAAAACCCAGCTGAAGGCCTAGGACTGGGGTGACGGTGCGCGTGCCCACAGAGAGGGCTCTGCGTGCCGCCTCTGGCACCCGTGCCATAGGTTTGCCACCATGGCTTTAGATGATGTTTGCGCAACCTTTTGGCTTGCCTGGGCCTCATTGAGTGACGAGGAATTGTCTTAGGCCACATGTAAAATGCATACTATTGTTTTATAATATAGAATTAAAGGCCTGGAGACTGAAACGTACGAAGAACGGCTGCAGGACTTGGCTTTGGCCAAGCCTCTGATCAGGGTGAGGCTGCCACGGTTGTAAGTCTGAAGAACAGTCATAAGTCGGTTTTTTTCCAGTGCCGTTGTAGCTTTGAGTGGTTACTAAATGAACGGTTGTAAATCAAGGACTACCTGTCGCTCCCCAAAGATGACAAAAATTCCCAACCGTAAGAGCACATGGAAAATGGAAGTTGTTGGTTCTCACACCAAGTCCAGTATTATTATGTCTATCTAAACCAGGGGTGTCAAACTCAATTTCATTGAGGGCCACACCAGCATTGCGGTTGTCCTCGGGGGGGGGGGGTAGGTGTGGCCAGGGTAAGCGCAGCCTACTGGGTGGGTGTAGCTGGAGTGGGTGTGGCCTACTGGGTGTTCTGTCCCCGTTCCGACCCACACACCCAAACAGCCAGCCAAGGGTTAAAGACTTCTCCAGACACCAATGCACAGATAAGAAACTTGGCAGCAGCTCCGTAGCTGCCTGCCAAGACCTTTTTACTCCAAACACACAGAAACAAAAACAATACACACAGTTTTGAAACCACAGCACACTACTTTGCCAGAGATTCAGCTTTTGTCCGTCACAGAGGTCCAAATGGCCACCACCACCCTTTTATAG